TGTCCAGGTGGGTCTGGAATATCTCCAGTGAGGAGAATCCACGATCTCTCTGGGCAATCTGCTCAGTGCTTGGTCACTGCACAAGGAGGCTCTTTCTCGTGTTCAGGTGGAACTTCCTGGGCATCAGTTTCTGCTGTTACCTCTTGTTCTATTGGTTTGCAGCACTGAGCAGAGTCTGATCATCTTCTTGGCATCTCCTGTTCATGGACTTGAAAACATTAATGAGGCCTCTCGCAGCTGTCTTCTTCTCAAGACTGAACAGCCCCAACTCCCTTTTAACCATCCTCGTCACTCTTAACTGGACCTGCTTCAGGAGCTCTGTGTCCTCTGGTCCTGAGGAGCTCAGAACTCAACACAGCACTCTGGGCCTGCTCCAGGATCTCCATGTGCCTCTGGCCCTGAGGAGCTAGAACAGGACACAACACTCCAGCTGTGCCTCCCCAGGGCTGAGTAGAAAGGTAGAATCACCTCCCTGACCTGCTGACAATGCCCTTCCCAATGCATCCCAAGATTCCATTGGCCTCCTTAGCCACAAGGGCACACTCATGGGCAGCTTGTTGTCCACCAGGACCCCCGAGTCCTTCTCTGCAGAGCTGCTCTTCAGCAGGTCACCCCCAGCCTCTCCTGGTGCTTGGGGTTATTCCTCCCCAGGTACAGGACCTGCACTTGCCCTTGTTGAATTTCAGTTGGTTCTTCTCTGCCCATGTCTCCAAATTATCAAGGTCCCTCTGAAAGGCAGCACAACCCTCTGAGGCCATCCAGGCTCTCCCAGGGACAGCACTGCCTGCTGAAGTTGATGTGACCAGGGTGGAGGGCACAGGGAGGAAGGTTCATTGAGGGGAGGCTCAAGGAGGAAGAGTGTGGTAGCACCTCAGGAGCAGCAGAGAGGGAGGAATGTCTCATGGCAGGCTGGTGTCAGTCTGTGACATTAGCAGCTGCAGTGTGAGTGGGGGAATGTCTCAGAATGACCATGGGAGGTGTCAGAGCTGGTGGGAGAACCAAGGGATGGCACTGGGGTGCAGTCTTCAGCAACTAGGTATTTGGGTAACACTTGCACTTGTATTTTTGTTGCAGAGGTGGCCATACACCATCTCCTAGACCAAGACTGAGAGATAATCCTGCCAGTACATGCAAATGTGGTTACAAGTGCAGCATTATCCCTTAGGAGAGATACCTGGGAGGAATTAGGAAAGACATAAGAGCAGTGCAGCACTGAAACAAGGGTCCAGAGAAACCCCATTCTCTAAGGTTTGCAAAATGTGCCTGCCCCAGGCCATGGGCAGCCTGTCCTGCCTCTGAATGCAATCCTGCTTGGAGCAGAGGATAGGACTGAGTGACCTCCAAAGGTCCCTTCCAGTCTACACCTTTCTGTGGTTCTGTGATGGATGTTTGAAATACAAAACAACCAGACTTAATTATAGCATTGAAGAAACCTATTACACATCTACAGCTTAAACCAGTTCTGTTCCCTGCCCCATCCTATAAAGTTAGAGACAGGACAGAAAAAGGTGATCACAACAAGCTACATGACAAAGTGATTCTTGAATGGGGAGAGACTCAGGAGGAAACATCTCAGGAGCTCTAAAATCTTTACTGATGTGGAGAAGATGACCAAGAAATGACTGGGAGTTAGGGGACACCCAACAGAGTGAAGGGGTGACTTACAGAGCTCACAGAGCTTAAGCTTCTTATGAAGAGGTTGATTACTCCCTTGTGGATTCACTGGCACAAGATACTGCTGAAATAAAATGTGCTTATGCATTAAAAAGAAAGATCCTGTTTTTGAGTCGGGAACCTTTGATTTGGGAGACCTTTCAGCCACAGACCAGTGCTTTTTTGGTCAGCACCCTCAAGTGTCCACGCACCTCCCACGGTGTCAGAAAGCTTCACTGAGCTATGCATTGCATTGCAGAGACACCTCTGTGCACTCAGGTTTCACTCTGGCCCTGACAACAAAATTTCCAGAGGTCACAAGATATTTCCCATCACACCTGGGGAAAACAATTCCCTGTCACCTTCCCCTTTCACTTCTGTCATAAATCTAACCCTCTGTTACCAGCTTCTCCTGTCTGAGTCCCAGGCTATTCTGTGGCTTCTTTTGAGAACCATTACTCTGCCTCAGTAGTTTCCTCTTTCTCTCCAGTTTCTCTAGTTTTATGTTGTCATTTTCTCATGAACAGACCAGAACTGTGGAGAGTTGCTCAGCATAGGGTGCAGCTGAATTGTGTGATGTAGGACCATTAACTGTTTGATTTGATTTTACTTTCCATTCCCCTTCTAATGATTTCTAACCTTCCCTTTGCTTGCCTGGCTCCTCCTGCACAGCAAACTGGGCTTTTGCCTAGGAACACTCATTGTAACACTGAGATCTTTGCTGAGTGGCTGTAGCTAGTTTAGAGCCCAACCCTGTGTGTGAAGTCAAGAAAGATCACCCCTCCACACATCATTCCTTACTTAGCAGCCACTGCCCAGGCACTCACTGCCAGCAGATCCTTCACCAGCTCTGCACCACTTTCACCTCTGCTGCTCTGCATCACCAAGCACTACCAGCAAACTTCATCATTTATGTCTGTAGACATAAACCCTCCACGTGAGGAGTTCACTTATGCCCTCAAACTCCCATACCAACAGGCACTGTCACCCAGCAGTGGTGTGCAGTGCTGTCAGCCCCTGCCAGAGCTTTGGGGTGTCACCCTGGTGCAGGATGGAGAGGTCAGCATCAGCTGGGTGTGAAAAGCAGAGCTCAACCCCTGTTATATTCACGGCGATCTTTGAGAAACTTGCCCGTAGACCTGTGGTCATCCATGTGCCACCTGGCATCTCTGCTCACAGTGTGGTGCCAGCCACCCTGCCAGGGGCTCTGGGCAGGCAGGATGCACCCTACAGCCAAGGGGAGAGGAGAACTGAGCTGTGCAAGCTGCAGCTTGTGCTGCTGCAGCAGGTCCTGTGTGCCTGGTGTAAGGCACACAGAGCCAGGAGCACGAATGGGGGGGCAAACTGCACCTAAACCAAGAAGGCACTAGAAAGAAGGTAATCACAGCACTTGTCCAGTCCAACCCAGCCAGGAACAACAGGACTCTTGCAGAAACCAGAAGTGGTTTTGGCCTCACTTGTGCAGGAAATCACAGACTGACCACTACTAACAGTGTCCTTGGGGAAATGAAGAGGTGACATACCTGAGGAACATTGAAACAATCTCACCTGAGCCTGCTGGGACAGATTCCCAGGAAAATCCAGAGTGTGACCCCCCCAAATCACTCCACATCTCTGGTAGCATCAGTCCCCCCACTCCAACTTAAATCAGCAGCACCTTTCCCAGTGTACTGCACAGCCCTTCCTAGAGGACATACAGACACATTCCTCTGCCCATCAACTGCCAAGCGCTTCTTACACAGAAACCTGTTCTTGGGAAACCTCTGCAGAACTTGCTAAAGTTAACAATCCTCATCTGTGAGCTGGACACAGCTCTCTACCTGCAGCTGGGACAGTGTACACCACAGTGGAATGTGTGACACAGCCTGCACCGTCCACAGCCACAACTCACAGCCTAGAACATGCTTGTTTAGTTTGGGGTTCAGCTACTTTGAGGTTTCCAACTCCTCACTGCTTACCTACAACCTGCAGCTGCACAGAGATAACAAAGCTCTTCCAGGTCTCCACCAGCCCATGCAGAACTGTCAGGGCTCTCCCACCTGCATCAAGAGCCCTGAGAGCTACTTTTTTACCAGCTCTCCAGAGTGAACAGGCATAACCACCAAAAGGACGAGGCTTTAACAACTGTTCTTGAATTGTGCAAGGAACAAGGCCAGGGGATGCCACAGGCAATCCAAAGTGTGGGCAAAGTGATTCAGACACTTCCACACCAGCACCCACAGCTCCATTGCTACAGGGCAGGAAAGGTACATATGGCTATATTCCTGAATTCTGCAAAGGGACCGGCTGGAAACCTTTCAAAAAGAAAAACCAAAGTTCTGGAAATGTAGGAGAGCAAGGGCTGTCTTGATATTCAGAGCCTTTGTGGTGTGGAAAACTGCAGCAGAGCTGTTGGCAGAGCTGCACTCGGTCCAGAAGTGTAAGGAGTCACCATCCACTGATTCAAGTAACTCTAGTTGATTTTCAAAGTCCTTCCCAACCCAACCCATTCTATGCCCAGGTCAGCAGGCACAGCAGCCACCCTGCAACACCATCCACATCCTGAATTTGCCCTCAGTACAGAGAAGGAGCACCTCATCCTCACAGCCACGCTGCATGGACTGACTTGGTCCAGGCATTAAACTAGAAACACAATCCTTCCACCTCGTGTGTCAGGAGGGGACACGAGTGACCAGACCCACAGCCCACCGGGCAAAGACAACACTCCTGCCGTGCCCTACAGGGCTCTGGCCGGAGCTGGCACTGAACGAACGCAGACAGGAGATTTCAGCCTTTATTGGCAGCCCCAGCGGCTGCACCAGGGGGCAGGAGCAGCACAGCCGCGAGAACCCAGCGCTGTCTGCCTTTCGCCTCCTCCGAGCACGGGAACTGGCAATCTGGAAATCGAGTCATCTTTATCACATTCCGAAAGGTGTTGGGTTTACAGTCCTGTGCGTCCAGCATAGCCATCTCGGCTCGAAGTGACTATTTCATCTTGAAAACTATCCCAGGCTTGCTTTCCCCAAAGCCAACATCTTAAAGCTGCAGTACTCTCCAGGCACCTTTCCCAGCAGTCCCAAAGCCAAATAACAAAAGGAGCCCTCGCAAATAAATAATCATAGGAAAATAAATAAGATTGGAACTGGAATATACAGTTACATGGTCTTTATTTGGTTTCAGAGGTGGAAAAAAGTGGAGCCAGACTGCAGCTTTAAGCCTCACACCTGAGTCAACCTCAGACACTCGGTAAATTTTACAGTTGATTAGCTGTACAGGTCGGAGATCCGAAGTTCCACGGAGATGAACATTTAGGCACATACTCACACCCTTCCCCAAGGCAAACTTTATTTTGCTGAGTTAGGAAAAAGCCTGCTGAGGGGAAGTGCCCCTTCCCGAGCCGAACAGACACCACTGAAGACCTAAGTTACTGTCACAGTAAAACTTCCCAACAAATATCTAACCCCACCCATGTCTGCAAGGGGAAACTGGTTCAAACCATGCACCAGGGAGACAATCCTCTCTCAGGGGATCCTTCGACTCCGCTGGCACGATGGAATCCTCGAGCAAATCCAGCTCCCGGCAGGGCTGCCAGCTGCCCGTGCTCCGAGCTGGGTTGTGAAAAGTCCTAAGTCCATTCTATCTACTTAAGCCAGAAATCCTGTTAATGCCATTTCAAGGCAGTTCTACGGCAGGAGCTCTTGATCTGCTCTCTGTTTGGGGTACACACCTCCTCTCCGGGAACTCCCACACGGAAAAACCACACAGAAGATAAAAGCAATCCATTGCAAGCCAGTGTGCGACGACTGTCCCCTTGGGGAGGTCAAGAATCCAGGACAGGGCAAGGCAAGGGAAGGGAGGAGGATGGCAAGGTGGAGAAGGAAGTTAAAAACAAACTCGAAACCACCGAGACACAAGGAGGAGCTCAAAGCCCCTCAACAGCTGATGGCACTGGGTTGCTGTTTGCTAACAAAGTCTGAAATGAAGTCGAACTCGTTCTGTCCCAAGAATAACTCTGGCAGCTCCTGAATCCGGTCCAAGCCCAGTTCCAGGACAAGGGATGTCAAGACCTCTTCATCTATGAGCTCAGTGTCCATAACGTTCAAGGTCAGCGCCGGGGAGGGCAGGTGCTGCACGCCCGGGTGCTGGCCCGGCCCCACTCGGTACTGCTGGGCCCCAGCCCCCGCGGGCCCGTTGCTCATGCCCAGC